TTGCTTATGCAACGTAAATTCTCACCTTATCTTTAGGCCTTTGTCTATCCCTTTTACACAATATAAGCCTTAACTCGTCTTAGGATTCTGAGGTTATCGTTTGTCACGACTTAAACCCTCACATCTTCCAGACTATTTGTGTGGTTGTTTCACACGAATGTAAGCCCTAACTAATAAAATTGGCAGGATGAAACACTTAAATTTTTCTACTCAAAACTAAAGTCAAACATTAGGATAGCTTGGGAAGTCACCGAGGTTCTCCTTTGGATCCATGACACCCCCTAATTCTTCCTCCTTTGGATTCTACAATAAAATGTTCCAAATTTGAACCAATTCCCTTTCACACCTTTACGTGCGATCTCATTGAAAAGTCCTACCCTTTGAAACTCATTGAAGATAATATTTCCTGAATTTTATCGAGAGTCTTCTTAGTTGACTTTGGTCATTTAAGATGTAATTAACTATAGGAGCTTGCCCTTATAGGAAGCATGTCCGAACCCATCTTAATATAAATCCTATTTAATTCTTTATATTAAATAGGGGAACTTGTGAGCAAATATAAAGGAGTCACAGACCAAACGAATGTCATATATTCCTTAGTTTATTTGATCGAGTCTCATCCTCAAGTCTTGTGTTTGTCCTTCAGGATAGATACAGGATTTGAGGTACAGTGCTCTTTCATTTAAACAATAAAAAATATGGGGTTAGTTTGATTTCATTTTTTTCTAAAATTATATATATATAGATGTAAATTAAAACGTCCTTACGAAGCGGGCGACGGAATTTCAATTCCGGCGACCGTCAGTTTCTTACGGGCAACCCCCCAAAATTTGTTTTAAACCTTCTCCTTTTAAGTGCCGACAGTTACATGAATCTTTTTTTCTTCATTGTGTCATATTGAGTGTCATATTTTCATTTAATTCTAATAGATTAAGATCATTTTTTATATATGTCCAAGTTTTTTTGGGTATACCTTTACCTTTCTTACCAACAGTCAAGTCTAAGACATCTACTCTCCTAACAGGATCATCAAATGGTCAACGTTTAATGTGACCAAATCATTTAAGGTGACTATCTCTAATATTATCTGCCACTAGAGCAACACCAATTCTTTCACGGATATATTCATTTCACATTTGGTCTCTAATTGTAAAGCCACATCAATCTAAGCATTCTCAGCAAAACTCAACTTAATTTTATGCTTCTTATTTATAAGCCAACATTCTGCACCATATAGCATTGCAGGCCTAACCACCATCTTATAAAATTTTCCTTTTAGTACTTTTCTATCACACCATAGGCCCTATACATTTCTCCATTTCAACCATCCATCTTGAATTCTACTAATAAAATCTCCATCTATATCACCATCACTTTGAACCATAGACCCGATATATCTAAAATATTCACTCCTTTTAATGACTTGATCTCTCATTATTTCAATCATCACACTAGATCTATTACTTCTAAAATTACATTCCATGTATTCGGTTTTAGATCTACTCAAACAAAAGCTTTTTAATTCATATTTTTGTAGAACTTTTTCTCAAGGGTTGTTCACTAGAAAGATATCATTAGCAAAAAGTATAAAACAAAGTAGGTCATCCTGTAAATGTCTAGTAAGAGCATTCATAACTAAAGCAAAAATTTGTGGGCTTAAAGTCGGTCCCTGATGTAATCCAACTGAAATAGAAAAATAAGATCCATCTTCCTGTTCGTACACAAGTAACAACTTTTGTATACATATCTTTAGTGACTTGAATATAAGTCATAGCAACACTTTCTTTTCTAGAACTCTTCAAAATTTTTCTCTTGGTATAAGCATTTTCTAAATCAACAAAAATCATATGTAGATCGTTCTTACTCTCTCTATACTTCTATATCAAACCTCTCCATAAATGTTTAACTTTCATAGTAGATTTGACTGACATGAATCCAAACTGATTTTGAGAAACTTTTGTTCTATCACATATTACACTTTGTTCAATTACTTTTATAACTTTAATGTATGACATTAATTTAATTCCTTTATAATTTGCAAACGCTTGTGTATCCCCTTTATTTTTAAAAAATATGGATCAAAATGATCTACCTCCACTCCTTAGACATCTTTTTAGTTTTTAAAATAATATTAAAAAGTTTGGTAAGCCAAACAATTCTTAAATTGACTAAATATTTTCACACTTTATTATATCAAGTCTTATTGATTTTCCACCATTCATTTTCTTTGAAGCTTTCTCAACTTCTGTTTTACTAATGTTATAGTAAAAATAAAGAAGTTTTATTTTTATTAATTAGATTAAGATAACAAAAATTTACCATATTTTTAAAATCTTCATTAAAAGGTTATCAAAATATCTCACCTATATATATATATATATATATATTTTTTTTTTGAATAACACCATATAAGCAAAGTATTTTTTTATTTTTATTTGCACTTGAACTAAATCTTATTTTTCTTATTTCTTTATTTGGTTAGTTTATACATATATATTTCATCATTTTTTATATTTAATCTTTTGTAAAGATCATTAAAAATAGATTTTTAGGATCACAAAATTTTTCTCTTAAACTCCCTACAGGTAACCTTATATATTTCTCAATTTTCTAACCTTTACATTTGAACCAATTTTACAATAAAATTTTTTATATTCTATATTTTTTTTGTAGATTATTATTCCATTACCAACTATTTTGACTTGTAATTTTTTTTTCTTTTAATACTCCTAATACATCTTTTACAACTTGCTTATGACAATATTTAAATATATTTTTTATGTTCCAACCTTGATCTTAAAATTCAAAACTAATAATCGATCTTGAATACTTAAATTTTCACTTGGAATGACCTTAAAATCTTTATAATCTCAACGACTTCTTTTCCTCATGAGAAAATAATCAATCTTTATTTTATAAAATCCATTCCTATAAACCATAATATTTTCATATCGTTTCTTAAATAAAATATTAACGAAACAAAATCATAAGCTAAAATAAAATCCAATATGACTCTATCTTATTTATGAATCACTAAAAAAACGTAGCCACTATGAATATTTTTAAAATCATCTACCACTCTAACAGTATGTTCATTTAAATCTTCTTCAATAAAATATTTTTCTTCAAGAGAGATCCTTAGTATTAATTCTTCCGGTCATTCCATAATATTTTTTAAATAAAGTTTTAGCAAAAACAAAATAATAAGCTAAAGCTCATATTATAATTGATGTGAAAATGTGTTTTATACATGCATCAACTTATAATAATGAGCTTTATAAAGTGCATCATTAAAGAGAGTGTACCCAACAATATTCATCACAACCAATTTTATACCAATTTGTTTAGCTTATAAAGTATGCAATAAAAGCTCCTGTAAAATAAATGCATCAACTTAATTACATTTATTTTACAAAAATTTTGCAAAGAACAAATTAAAAGTGGGGCCCATAAAGTATGTAATAAAATGCATCATTCATCACAGCCAATTTTATACCTCTTAAGCTGCAAGTTCATTTTTGTATGTTATCATATTCCTCTTAAGCTGCAAGTTCATTTATTTATTTATTTATTTTGTAGATGAAAATTCATTTTTTTTGTTGTTGTGATATATTGTGTAAAAGATTGTGCTATATAAAATATCATTAAAATTCACTATTCATTCTTATAATAATCTGATATGGAATGATTTCTTTATGATTATATTTTGTTTATTTCATCTTATGAAAGCTTGTTGTAGTATTTGTCTCATATGAGATGCATCTATTTTATGGAAGTCCTTTGATATTTACATTCATACTTTGCTGCACAAACATGTGCATGAAAATGTGTGTTTGGCTTTTAAAAGTTAGTAAGAGTGGTACTTTTTATGTATTGTTAAAGATTTGAGTGTTAAGCATATAAATATGAAAGTTTACATGTTGTATTATATAAATATGTAAGACTTGTGTTGTATGTAAATTCCCCTAAATAAAATGAATCATAAATATGATGAAATTATATGGTAATTTATATGCTAACGTTATTGAGATTTACATTTACATAAATTGCTATACTCACACAATTATGATTCCTCCGTATCATGACTTTATATGCAAGTAATTATGCTTTATGGTTTGACAAATACCACATGATATGACATAATACTACATAATTTTATTAACATAGCTTCAATTGATTGTTAGGTTTATATAATCAATTCATTATCATAAATATATTATTTTATGAAGTTGGTTTTGGGCATCTGCTTGTCAGTAATAAGTTCCCTCTAGTATGGGGTTCGATTCCCCTTGAGTGTAGAGTGTGGTACTCGAATTATAAGCGCATGAGGGATGGTCGGGGCTCGTATCATAGCCTCCGGCCATTCCTATAAAAATAAAATATTATTTTATGAAGAAGTTGCACAAATTCGGTGCATGAGCATCCATTTTGTTTATTTTTACACTTACCATCAATTTTTTTTCTTTACACATCTCGCTAATCTATGCATTCACATGTGTTGTTTTTCAGGCAAGCGTAAATCTACTGCTGGAGGGATAGTTGTAGATTTCTATGATTTTATCTAGATGTACTATTAGAAGTCTTAGTTTGCTTATTGTGCTGCACATTGATGTATGATAGGAGATATGACCATGAAATGCTGCTGGACATTTTTGTTTTGATGAGTTTTTAGTGCCTGTCAATCTGTTAGATGATGTAATATTAACGATCATAATGAATATGTTTAGTGAGTTTGTTCTGCTACTGAATTTTCATAATATTATTCTTGTGGAGATTAGTTTTGCTCGATTCATAATTTCATTGGAAGGAAAATTCTTTAACTTTTTCAGCTGAATGATTCAATTTATATGAATTTATATATAAATATATGTATACTAATTTATAATTTTTTTTGCTTATTTTAACTAGAAACTTATTGAATATATTTTATAAGTCATGAAGATGCATCTGCCGTATTTCTTATTTCATTTGGTGTATTTGATGTTGGCATGGATCCGACTTATTTTTGTTTTCACTTCGGGTAATAGGATATTGGAAAGTGTTGGTACGAGAGAAAATTATTGCATCAAGATGCATCAGGTGTTCAATTAAAATTAGTCACATCAAAATGTGGATCCTATTGAAATACACAGATTATTTGTTTTTTAAAACTGTGGAATCCATCCTAACACATGACTAATTTTAATCGGACACCTGACATAAAAATTATTCTATTACGTAAGAATTATGTAATATGTGTAAATTTCCCAATTAGAATTGTACGGAGTATTTGCTTCAGACAAAAAGTGGGTGGTATAAAGCTGATAATGTTCCCAATGGGTCAACCAAAAATCAAGTCAAAATCATGGTTATTTTAAGACCAACGCCACAGGTAACTAACATATACATATATAGATCAATTTGACAAGGCAAATTGTTTAATGGTGTTGAACGAAGATTCATTTGACCCAATTCAACAGAACCTAGAATTTGGCCTCTGATCTTAGCTGGCCATCGACTAATTACAGGGCCGTCGACTCCAGGAGTGAAAAGCTCAAGGATTCCAACGGATTTGATATTCACATAAAATTAGCTAAATCTATAAATTGTTGTAATATGTTAGGACTACATGAAGTTATATATTATCTGGTAAGAATCATTCAATTAATAGCATGTATATAGGTATTGTTGAATTCAAATTTGTTTGATAAATCGTGCCAAATGGGATTGAGTGTTGGGCCGAGGGAATGTGGTTGAGAGAGGAAGAGCAAGACTTCCTTGATGGGGGGGAAATGGGGTGTTACAGGATGAACCCCCAACCAAGTCCAATGTGACTAATTCGATGCAAGGCTCGAATTCGTGACCCTCGGGGTTTTACAAATGCTGCAAAAAAAGGTGGGTAGTGAGGATAATTATGAAACTCAACAATGTGTTCACCACACAAAAAGCTCGCTAAGGAAGTGTTGTAGCTAGCTTCATGAGCAATCTTCCTTCTCATATGTTGTTCTAAGTGGTTCAAACGATCTTCATTATCCTGAAGCTGACATTGCATTAAAAATATATCAGATTGAAATTTCAGTGTTCTATCTCAAAGTTCTTCACAAATACCAGGAGGTGGAGCAGTTGCATTGGAGGTAAAAGGCATAGAGGTAGAAGTAGATGGAATATCAGAAGCCTTACCTCGAGGTCTTCCATATATGTCCACATTAGCCTTTCCAATAGGCTTTAGTGGCTTAAGTTGCTCCTCCCAAGTCTCGTATTTAACTCTAGATCCTTTGCAGATAGTAAAGATAAGGGAAGGGAAGCCCAAACCTACAAAAGAGCTAGCTCTAGCGGATGTGTAAATAAGTTTGAAGATGAGAGAGCCAACATCAATGAGTTTCATCTTTTGAATGCAATAACTCAAAATGGCTCTCTCGAGTCACCTCGCTCAAATGATTCAAAGGAAGTAATTGAGCAGAAATAGAGTAATTTCATGCCTTTGATGGGGTATTAAGAGTATAAGAGGAAAAATTTACCTTATGCTCGTTCTTGATCTTCCAAACTCCACTCCCATCAGTAAGGTAACTGACAATCTCATCTAGCTCTTACTCTGAATAGAAGCAATCCAAAGCTGGAGGTAAACCATATAAAACATTAATCCTCTTAGGATTGAACTCAACTCCCCTTCTTCGAACAAATATTTCCTCCTCCAGTGCTTCAAGCAGATTTGCATAAAACTCTCACACTATAGAAACAACTACTACAACAGTAAAGTAGCAGAGATCTTCTCAATGTCGACCAACAATCAAATATTCCACCGCACCATCAGGACTAAAAAAACTTTGCTCCAGAATAAATTATCTTCTGCTTTAAGAGTCACGAATTTCCTATTGTCAAAATTTTCTTTCCCCTTTCCTCTCTTTTTCTTAGGAGCCATCACGAAAATCTAGATAAATTCAAAATAAATTTTAAATTTAAGTTCTAAAGGCTCTTACAAGTAATTTCCATGCAAATGAAGCTTTCAACCATGGATTTCTCACTAATATATCAAAAATTTTTATTTTTTTGGTAATTTTTAAATGTAGAAGAACTCCATGGTGAAACAACAAAATTTCTATGCCAAAATATAGATTTTAGCAAGAGAAGAAAAAATCTGGTGATTTTAAGCTCTAAAAATTGAAGAAACAAAAGCTAGAGGATGCCCTAAGAAGTGTGAAGCGCGAATGGGAGGAAGAAGAAGAAGCTTCAGGCATAAAAATGGCTCCAAACCGGCCTATTTTGTGAAATAGGATGTTCTTCAATTAGTTCAGCGGGACCGACGCTTAGGCGCCATACTCAATTTTCACAAAATTGTTTCGTTAAAGTGCAAAACAACAAACCTAAGGTCCCCGGACCATAATTAAATTGATTTAACATCATTCCACTAATTAATTATTTTCCCAAAATCTCTCAACTTCCATTTGCTCAATTTCAACTTCCAAAATTCAAATCATCCAAACATACTAACACCATAGAATTTCTCACAAACTTAACACAATTTCAATCACACCTGCAAAGTTTCATACAACAAACACAACAACGTAACGTTCATTCGTGATACGTCAATTTGTCATCTGCCCTTATGGGCATACCATCTGCCCTCATGGGCATACTTTGATGTGTTGGGATATCCCCGTCAAGATGATTTTGATTATTTCATGGGATTTCTATGTTGATGAGCCACTACTCATTCGGGATGCGAGAGACTCACTCTCTGTCTGATGACTTAGCATGCACTTTGAAGTATCAGGATTTTTTCACATGAAATAACTTTCCTTTGATGACCTATTGCCCCAGATCCATGATAATATAAGTGAAACCCCTTTTATTGAGATCATTATTGGGTATCCCCCAATATGTAATTAACCAGCAGGAACATTTTTCTCTGGGAGTGCTTTTGACTCCATAACAGGTACACAAACTTGAATCTCTGGTTATGGGTAGTCTATGTAGGTATTCTTTCACTGATATTGGTCTAAGGTGCCTCTACCAAATCTTATTTGGGCAGACATTCTTGACTTATCCTTTGAAGATTTATCACACGTAGACTCTTCATGTTTTTTTTTTCTCGTGCTTACCACTTTGTCATGTGTGTCTTCTTATTTTGTTCATCTCCTCTTCAAATCACTTATCTGATTTGGGAGAGAGATTTATTTGAATAAGAAAATTATACGGTGATCGACAAACTCGAAACTCTTTTTAAAATAAAAAAGAGAAAAAGGAAGTGAAAACACACTTACACATGATTTTTCATTCCAATATATTGGTACACCCTTTCTTATGGGTGGTGGTTCTGATTTGTCAATGGATCGACAGGGCTTATGATGTTCATGCCATCTTTTGTTATGACCCAATGTAAGCTTGTTTTCTTTCATTCTCACATTTTTTACTTCACCTTTATGAGGGTTATAGGTAATGTTTGTGCCCCACCATTAGCTAAGTTTAGGTTTCATTAGGTTTATAGGCTATCATCATAACCAACCTCCCATCTAGGAGATAAAAGAACTTGGTGCCTAAGCATTGTCTGTGAGTACACAGAGCCCCTTTCTTTTATTCTCAGATATTAGATATCATCCTTTGTCATCATCTCCATGATGTTATAATACCCTCCTTATGATGATATAAGGAGAGTTTCTATATTCATGCATATTTATGCATGTTGTATGCATGGTCCGTCCATTTATCTCATATACTTTATTTACATTTTGGTGCATTTGTTGTATTTTAATATTTCTATGACAATTTGCTTTGAGTTTGAGCTCTTAGGGTTTAGTCTCCAAAGCTCATGAGTGTTCATTTTGCATGCATTCTTGATTTATTTATCTTTTAGAGAATTTTGAACTAGTGTTAGTGCTTTTGAAGTTTAATCCTCGAGAACACATCCTTTTCTAGCATGTTTATGCAACTATTGTGTGTATGTTCATACATGCGGGCTATTGCTTCTTCAAGTAGGACCCTATTTGCTATTACACTATGTCAGCATGTTGGTGGAAACACTTAACCTGTGGTGATCATAGGGAAATAAGCATTACTAGCTGTCTTGCCTGGACGAGTAATGTGAGTTATCCCATTTTTATCATATATTGTAGAATCATTTCAAGCATAGGTTTGGGGTAACTTTCATCACTTATTGTGATAGGTGTTAGCTCATTCGAATGCTTGGGGCGTGGACAACTCGGTGAATCCGTCAAGATCATATAGGAAATTTTTTAGCCTCTGCATGACAAGCCTTGCACTTAGATATTTGTATAGGTGAAAACTTTTAATTCATATTTAAAATTGGGTTAGAGTTTATTAGGGATTTTTGTACACAGATATTTCTCTTTTGGTTTGTGCTAGCTTTTTTACAATTACTATGCCTTTTTGCATGTTTTATTGGGTGTGAGACTTTCACACAATTATATTAGGGTGGTCTTCCTTACAATGTGTTGTATCCAATAGGGAGGATCTCAATAATTATTTAAACTAGCATGTTTTTGTAGGTATTGACTAGCTCTCCTCTTTGATATGCTGTATGATATAGCTTGTACTGACCTTTTTATGTACATTGAGTATTTATTTTTAACATTTTCTAAGTATTTTAATGTTCTAGAAGAGTATGTATTAGAAATATGGTAAGGGTATGAGTTTTTGAGGTGTTTTCCATGCAAAACCATGTGGAGAGGATCATGAGCTATTTGCTCGTGCCTCGTACATTTATGCTCTGACAGTTCAAGATAAATGGCCAGAGACTAATTAAAGTGCCATTAAGATACTGAAGTGTCTTAGTAAACATAAGGAGTTGATGTGGTGGTTTGGCAGATGACCTCCTTATACCCACATTAGGGGAATAGATCCAAACTTTTGGTCCTGGTTAACTACGTTTGGGTAGAACCTAAGCCGTTAGAAAAACTTAGTGGAGTGGTTCATTTGAGTATGAGCTAGTAAATTTGCAATTAATTGATTGCCAAATAAGTATATGTAAGTATATATGTTGCTTTTGGTAATATTGAATATGATAAGTATTATTCTCATGAGGATATTGACAAACTTGATAAATGAGATATCCAAGTATCACTTTTGGTTTCCTATTTTTATCCGACACATCAATATTCTTTATGTACTATTACAAACAGAGTGAAGCAATGATAAAGTTTTTATTGATTTGCTAAAACTTACTAGATGTATGCCTATCTAATAGAATTTCAAATACACTTCTTTCCGTATTAATTTTGGATATATGTATGACCACTATACATACTTAATGAAGTTGGACATAGAGTAAATAAAGTTGAAAATTTTATTATTTAAAACTTATTGATTAAGAATTTTAGTGCAAAAAATACTACAAACTCAAAGAAATATAATCATCCTCTAAACATTTTTGATACCAAAGCACAATGATGATTCATTATAACTATGAAAGAGTTTTCACAAAATTATTTGGAATGAGTGCACCTGAAATTTTTCTTGGTTATTGTGAGTAACTCATTGCTTGCAAAATGCTACTCCAACCTTTGGTGTTCAACACTCACACAAAGATAAAACACTCTCTACATAATTAACTTAAACTATAAAAGAAAACTCTCGTAGTCACTATAATGTTCTCCCCCTCACCACTCACTATATGACAATCAAAATTTCATATATTCCCCTTCTACCTTATCAACCTATGGTCCACTCAATTAACTCAAATCCTTATCTTGTAACTTTGAAATTATTATAAATAACTACTCAATTGGGTTTTCACACCATAGTACTAAGGATGTAGTGTTACAACGTTAGTGCAACACTACGATGCTCTTGTGGCAGTGTCATGACCCTAAGATCTCTATCTTTTCCTTCATGGATGATATGGATGACACTATGAGGTTTGAGTGCTATAGTGCTATGGAGCTAGAGGTTGTTGTCCCTATTGCTCTCTTACTGATGTCGTCTAAGTGAATCTCGTTCAACATTGTGGTTCTCTGGAGGATGACATTTTTATTATTTTAATTGGCATTATGGTGCTTTGATCTTGAGATACTGGTTGAAAAAATCCCTAACATAGCATTGTAGTGCCATATAGTAGCACTACGTAACTAGATGGTCACATTGTAGTGTTGGCTGGTGGAGTTATAGCACTGGATGGTAGTTCTGCGGCTTTGGCACTTCAAGTCTAAAGATATTTAATCTTTTTCTTCTATGAATTTGCATAAATATATTAATTAGTAAAATATTTGAAAGATATATATAATTTCACTTCTCATTCAACATTTTATAATTTTTCTCACTCAACAGCTAGCTAGTGTCCAAGTCCAACTAGGTATATTTGGGCCAGAGCTAGATAAAATTGGTGAAATGTGCACATCAAGGTATTTCCACTGGCTAGGTTTGGTTAGATTAAGTGTTTATGATCAGGACATAGCCGTTGATTTTTGTGTTAAGCTTAAATTAGATTTAGTCTCATATGGCTCATGGGAGTCTAATTGGATTCAAGCCCAATTATGCCCAATTGTAGCTCAATTCAGGAGGTTCTATTTTAATTAAATTATGTTTAATTTTAATTTACTTTAATTGGGCTTAATTGGACAAATTAGATTGACTTAGCTGGCTCAATCAGTGGTCCAATATTGGTAATTTTGGTTAGAATAACTATAGGTGGACCTCAAGAGATGCTTAGTTAATTTAAATTAAATTTGGAGTGCATTTGGTTCAATTTGGTTCAATTTGGTTCACCTTAACCCAAATGGACTCAGAATGGGGTTATGGGTACATTTGTTCAAATTAAGTACAATTGGGGATGAATTTGCTACATGGGAGGATGTTTGAGAAAATTTAATCACAATTATACACAAACTACATGCGCAAGACTTTGAACCTATGACCTTTCGGTTGATAGCCAAGAGGTTCTATGATCTCTTTTATATGTTTTGATGATGATTCTTTTGTTAGTTTAGCTGTCTGGTTTTTTTCAATGTTTTAATGAGGTTTTTTATGAGTTAGGCCTCATTAAACTGATTAATTTTTACGGTATTCAGGAGATGAGGATGCATGATCAACCCAAGAATAGGATATCAATCCTCAATGTTAAGCTATTTTACCTTTAAAAAAATACTTTTTTATCCAATTTCATGTTCTCATAAATTTTAACTTTGGGTTTATACAATTATTTTTTTCTCTCCATTCTCCAACTTCTCTTATCCATAAATTACTTTTCGGTTCATAAGTCGCTCTATAGCATGACACCATTATTTTGATTCATTTATCAATTATATTACTCATACAAATAATCATTTTTTTTACTTTAATAAAATTAAGATGTATTCTCACTTTTCATATTAAAAAAAATATTAATACGAACAATAATTTATTTTTAGAAAAATTTAAGGATTTTAATTTATTTTTTTAGAATCACACTCAGCTTTATTTAGAAAAAAAATAAAATAATGAAAAAACAGTAAACAATTAACATAAAAAAAAACATCAAAAAAAAAAAAAGGAAAGCCTGAATGGATCCATGCTTAAAACTTGCGGACTGCCCAACAGGCAACAGCCCATAACAGCCCATAACAGCCCAATAGCCTTTCCTAAACTTCCGCTTAGTCCAAAACTGCTCCCCCAATAACCTCGCCTTGAATATTTGCAGAATTAATGGACCCGTTTATTTCTACATCAGCGGCACGTGTCCGAAATCCCTAAAACTAATTTCACCCATTCTTTCTCTCTCCCTCCCCCCGAAACACTTGTCTATACTCTTTACCATAATACTTCGCTTTTTGCTCCCATCTTCTCTGTGACCTTTTTCCCATGTCTAATGAACCTCTGCTTCCAACCTCCCCCGTCGCCGACGGCGGAGCAGCCGCCGCACCACAGCCCCGGTGGCGAGCTCTCTCATCTCCCAACCCCTGCTCGACTCTCTGCCCTCTCCCTGAGCACGACGAGGTCACCGTACCGATGTCCCCTTCTTCCCTCAAAGACCGCATCATCTTCGGCCCATCCCCTGCTCCCACTGATTCACTCTACGGATCCCTAACACTAATCCCGTCAGCTTCCCCTCCCTCTTCCCCTTCCCCCACGCCGCCTTCCCTTGCTATATCTGACGCCGCCGTTGTCAACGGCGATGCTGATGGCACCTCCGATTGGCAGTGGCCCGGCGATCCCCTCTTCTGCAAAACGGCTCGCAACTACTTCCACCGCTCCCGCACTGCGCCTGCCATGTCCAACTTCAACAACCTCACGAAAGAACAGGGCAACCGCCACCAATCTTCGGCCGAGGGCAGCGAATCGCCAATCGTTCGAAATGCGTTCATCCTCCTCACAGTATACCTTGTTTTTGGGGTCCTCATGTACTCCCTTAATAGGTCCGATTTCGTGGCATCGGAGACCCATCCTGTCGTTGACGCCCTTTACTTCTGCATCGTGACCATGTGCACAATTGGCTACGGCGACATCACACCGTCCTCAACAACCTCCAAAATCTTCTCCATCGCATTCGTCCTCATTGGTTTCGGTTTCATTGACATCCTCCTCTCCGCGATGGTTTCGTACGTTCTCGACGTGCAGGAGCACCATCTTCTCGACGCAGCGAAGCATCGTGCTCAGGGGAGTAAGTTAGATGCACCTTCCTACGTCATCGATTTGAAGAAGGGGAGGATGAGAATCCGGCTTAAAGTTGGATTGGCGCTTGGCGTCGTCGTGCTCTGCATCTGCGTCGGAGGGGCGTTCCTGCGATTCGTTGAGAAATTGAGCTGGCTTGATGCGTTTTACCTTTCGGTGATGTCGGTGACCACCGTGGGGTATGGAGATAGGGCTTTCAAGACCATGGAAGGACGGATTTTTGCCTCCATATGGCTGCTGGTATCTACGCTCGCGGTGGCGCGAGCGTTTCTGTATCTGGTTGAGGCGAGGATGGATAAGCGGCACAGGAAGATGGCTAAGTGGGTACTTGCGAGGAACTTGACTGTTTCAGAGTTTCTTGAGGCTGATATTGATAACAATGGCTTTGTGAGGTGTGATCTTCTCTTCCACTTCATTTTTATTTTCTGATATATTCTAATATTTCTTGTTTGATTCCGTTTATTTATTTATTTCCATGTGGTAATTTGGTGCTGCCTTTAGGATAGTGGTGTGATTCTGATATGAATGTTTTGCATGTGGAAAACGCGTGTTTCATCAATAAATGGCTGTGTCGGGTTGATTGATTGAGTATTAATCTTTTTCATAACAAATAGGGGTTTTGTAAGGTTGTCTTGCTTGTAGAAGGGCCAAAAAGAGTGTTTTATTCGGGTAATGAATCCTATGTGATTTGTCAAAATCATCTATTTTTAGATCGATTGGTTATATGAATTTGTGATGCAACTTGATGTGCTCTTATTAATTGTATGGAACATAGCCGTCTAAATTTATAGCATGTACCTGGCTAAATTTGACTTTTTTATTGGGGCTCATTTGGTTGCTTGATGGTACAAAACATTTTTTACAATTCTATTTTTATGTTTACTCAGTTTGCATGTGAAAATGACATGACAATTGAGTGATTTTAGAGGTGATTTAAAATAAAAAATTATTTTGAACTGCACCATACCAAATCATAGAATCTAATTAATCTTTCTTC